TATGGTTCTAGGATTTTAGGGTGGGCAGACATTGGAATAGGTTTGTCCAAGGAGGTGGTGGAGTCACCATGCCTGGAGGTGTTTAAGAGGTGTCTGGATGTGGCACTGGAGGATGTGGTCTTGGGTTTAGGGGTTCCAGCAGTGACAGGTTAAGGGTTAGACTTGATGATCTTAGAGGTCTCCCCCAACCTTGATAATTCTGTGATTCTGACCTTTGGGACATTGAATGAAGCTTCACTAGTGGTTATACAGCCAGAAGCTGCTCCCAACAGAAATGAATAACCTGTTTAAAAGTGATTAACTTGAGGTTATTTCCCCATCATACAAGAGCTTCTAGCAAGCAGCTCCAGCTGCTGAGGGGCAGGTCCAGAAAGCAGCTCTGTGACAGAGCCATCCCACACCTTCCCTCTCAAAGAAAATCCTCAGCTCTCCCAGACACACCAGCCCTGATTATTCAAGGGCAGGTTGGACAAGGCTTGGAGCAACCTGAGCTAGTGGAAGGTGTCCCTGTCCATGGCAGGGAGAATTGGGACTAGATGCCCATCAAAGTCCATTCAAACCCCTTAACATTCTCTGATTAATTTCTGACATGTCTTATTTCAGATGAGCATGGTGCTCAGAGCAGCTGGATGGGGGATGTGCTGCAGACAAGACCTTGCTCAGATTGCTCCTTCCCTGCTCTGGTTCGTGCTCCAGTTAGAGTCCTTGGGATAACTGACTCCTGTCAAAATAAACATGGTGAATTCCTAGAACTCATCTCAGCAGCAAAGGAAATCCCCTCAGTGAAGGGAGGCCAACACAGGGGCTTGAGTTACACACTGAGAACCTTTGCTTGTTTAACAGAGAGGTTTGCTCTGGGGGAATGAAACTCCCAGTGCTGTGCCAGGGATTTTCCATGAGCTGTGTGTCAGCAGGGCTGGGACTGCAGTTCCTGGGGCTGGGCAGAGAAAAGGAGTGAGATCAAGTGACCACAGATCCCAGTGAGGCCACAGCAAGAACTGGGAGGAGAGCTGGGGGAAGAGAGGCTCACACACAGCTAATGGTAACCCCAAGGTGGGTTTTGTTTTCCTTCTGCATCCACTAATTAGCACTCATGTCCAAATCCAACAAAACAGCCTCGAGGCTTCTCCATTCTCCTTTGACCAGGAGAAAGTCTCCTGCTGGACAGGCTAAGGGAGGCAAAAGTGTGGCTCCAGCATCTTTCTTTCTGCCTGCCTAAAACCAAGTAAGAGGGAGGTAATGGGAAGGATCATGTGGCAGCCTCCAACCCTCCAGCCCTGGGGCTCTCCAGGGAATGCAGTGGGCAAACCTCAAACACCCCCCAGTCATCCTCACTGGGCAGAAGGGACTTCAACCAGGCTCAGGGGAGGTGAGAGTTCAGAAGATCTCATGGCTGAGGCACCTGCAACTCCCTGTTATACACTGGGGACCTCATGGCTCTCTCCAACTCCCTGACAGGGTTGGAGAGAGGTTGGGGAAGTCTCTCCTGCCATGGCTGCAGGGAGAGGACTAGAGGGAATGGCCTTGAACTGAGACAGGGCAGAGTCAGAGGAGAGGTTAGGAAGAATTTTTCCCTGTTAGGGTGTTCAGGCACTGGAATATTGCCCAAGGAAGTGGAGGAGTCACCAGCCCTGAAGGTGTTTAAGAAGTGTCTGGACCTGGAATATAGGGTCTAGGGTTTACAGCAGTGACAGGATAAGGGTTGGAGTTGATGACCTTAGAGGTCTTTTCCAACCTTGATGATTCATGATGCTATGATTTGGATTCCTCTAAGAGTCAGATCAAACCATTGACTTGAGAAGCCTTTGGGTCACAGCAGCACTATGAGCATCTCTCTGAAAGTTAAAGCTCTTCTTGCTCATGTGTAGATTTGTACATATGGGATGGTGTGAAGAGAAGGTGTTTTTAAAGTATGAGTGCCAGGACATTTGGATACTCAGGTCTCAAATCATAAGGTTACAGTTCTAAGTATTTTTTCCCCTAAAAAAGGAAGAGTTTTCCAAAGAGATCCTTTCTTTTGATGTAGTTTTCACTCTAGATGACACTGCTTTGGGGATGTCAATTAAGGTTAGTGGTCTTTAACCTTCTAGATCTTTCTATAACCTTCTTTATCTATAAGCTAGTAGCTTTCC